GGGTTAGATAAATTACACCGGGTACTATATCTTTTGTACCCAGTTCAAGCTAAAAATCATCTGCATAGGATAAACTGGATATGTCTCTATATTTTCCTTTTTGCATTTTGTAACTATATTTGTATATATGTAAATGACCATCTTTATATATACACATGCAGAAATATGTTTTTAAACCATATTACCTTAAGAGGGAAGAGCAGAAGACCTTAGAAAATATGGAAAGGACTGCCAGTGAGGTATGTTTACACAAATGCATTAGGCATTGTCAATTTTATATTCCATTTTGCTACTTCATCAAGATGCTTGAAATCTTCTATATTGCCTGAGGATGGAAAGAAATTTAATCTAATGGTTAAGCTACAAAGTAAGAAAGTGGTTATCAATCTTAAACTTTTGGTAAACAAATCTTCCATCTTTCGTACCAAGCAAAGCTTCGACTGAAAAAGTTAAAAGCAAAATCTTCATATCCCGCTATGCTTTAGCGCCTAGGCGCACACCTTAACGACACTGCTTATTCCTGGTTATATACTTGTATAGTTGGTTATGGTGTTTCTCGTATGAATGAGTGCCAAGATGCAATTCATGTAGTCTTTCACCATAATTTTCATAGTCATGCATTGGTGAATGAATTTCTTAATTTTTCAGCTAGAGGTGTTGCATATGACCTTTAACAATTTTGAGATAGAATATATTGTACTTTAGAAGCATCTGAATCTTGTTCAAGTAATTTAAGAATATATGTTACTTGATGTGCATAAAGGTTCGAGAAGCAAGGAAAGCAGCTGCAAAAGCTCAGCAGTTGTTGGAGAATGTGGCCAACAGGAAAAGAAATAAGCAACAGGAAACATGTGGACTAGTTATTACTAAGGCAATTTATGGAAGTCAGAAAGCTTTAAAGACAGAAACAAATGATGAATTAGCCTCACAAGTGCTGGATGTAACATTACCTCTTAATTTCCTCGTTAACGATTCGGGGCAACTTAAGGTTTGTTTCTGTTTGCCTGTTTGTTGACTTTGATTAGTCTTTTTATTTTTATTTTCTATAATTGTCCTCAATTTTGCTGTGATAATTCCCTTTGTTTAACTTGTCAAGAATTTTGGCTAAATATACATGTAAAAAAATCCCATTAGCATGACTTGGGTTAGGGGTGAGTGTTTGACTGAGTCTAGTTGAGTCAAAAAAATTGAGTTATTTGAGTTGACAGTCCTATTTTATAACTCAAACTTGATTTGAATTTTTTTTCGAGTTGAGTTTTCAAGTTTCTATTTAGATTTAATTGTAAATATTTGTAATATTATGATACTATTTGATTCTAATTTAAATGATTTTTTATAACCATATACAATACATATATGTTTCTTCATATTTATTTCATATGTGATGTACATATATCACACAGAGTCGAGAGACTCGACTCAAACTTGAAAACCAATCCACTAATTATTAAAAATTTCGAATTATTCGAGTTCTATTTTATATCTCGACTTGAAATTTTTTCGAGTCGAGTCAAGTTTATGAAATTATAACTCGAAGTTAATTCGAGTCGAGTCTTTTTGAGTGGAGTGGAGTCGAAAAAATTAGTTTTTCGAGTCGAATTTTGCTCATCCCTAACCTGGGTCGTTTATGTTTTGACGCAGCTTCATGATGGTGTAAAAAAGTCGGGCATTATGGGCTTCTGCGACCCTTGCCCTGGGGAACCTAAGCAACTACATGTAGAGTACACTTACGGTGGTGACAGATATGAGGTAATATTATCACGCATTTCTTATTCTCCTAACCAATAATTACATGACTTGAAATTTTTAAAAGCAGGTTGTGGTGGATATGATTATGAGGAGTTGCAAATACCCCAGTTGACGCACAGAATCTGAAATTCACAAGATTTTCAATTGCTTTGACCCACTTGTAAATACCCCATATTTTGAGGCACCAAAAAGTTTCAATCTTATATCTAGTCTTTGATACACTGAATAATGGCATTAAAGGGATTCAGTTTATTTGGTGTAAATTTTTTTATTTATGAATAAACAGCATATGTTCTGTAATTTTGCTTCTGATTCAAACGCCTCTACATCCATTACAAGGGCATTCCTTAAACATTTCAAGATCTAGGAGATGCCTTTGTTTTGTTCCACAAATTGGTGTCATCTGCATTCTTTCTTTTTTTTGCATATAGAAATCATAATAAGAGAAGGTTTGTAGATTTTGCAAACTTGGTATTGATATTTATTGGATGCCATAGTTTCAAGGTGCAAATAGATCTAGTCACTTTGGTATTGTCTTTGAAAAATACTTTTAAAAAAAATACTTTTTAAAAAAATAATTTCAAAAGTATTTTTAAAAATATAATTTAAAATTTAATTGTTTGAGATTGCAGTTAAAAAGTGACTATTTGGTCAATGTTAGAAGTTTTTTTTATCTTAAAACGAAACATTGAGGTCAAAATGCCCTAAAACATAATATGGGCCAAAATGATCATTTTGTTAAACGTTCGGGGCTAATTTTGATATTACGTCTAATATTTTCTATTTGAAATTTGATATATTTATTAGATATGTTGTTAAACGTAATAAAAATATAATTTACAAACAGATTTTTATTTTTTTGCTTATTCCTACAATATAAATTTCTTTCTATACTTATTATTAGAGACGTAAATTTTATATTTGCTCTTAGGCCACCAAAAACTCAGAAACGAATACGAGTAGTAGTACCAGTAATTGGTGCTGATGGTTAAGTTTGATTGTGGTGAGATTGGTGAGAGAGGATCAAGTATTGCAGGGATGTTGGTGTTTGGTTTTGGAGATGATGACGAGTTGTTTGGCTGTATAGTTGGTGGTAGTGCACTGTTGGATGCTATAATGCCCTTTTATTTTTGCTCTCGTCTCCTCTATTTTTTCTTCTTCTTGTTTATTAATCATTTATTTTGTCTCATCAACTTGTTGCACCTCAATGGAGATCAATGACTAAAATGTGACAAATCAATAATGTCAATAAAAATAATTTAACTTTTCAAACAATATGACTAAAACATAAACTTACTCAAATATAGGTAACAATTTAAGTAATTTTATCCCATATCAATTATGTATGTTGAGGTGTATTATTATTTTTAATTAATCACTAGTATCTTATTTATTAATCGATTAATTCAAATTGAATTTTGTACATGCTCATTATGGTCTCAACTCAGTTTACTTTATTTACAAACGTTGAATTTGAACTCTTGATCTTACTTAATGAATTTTGTGTCTCATCCCACTAGACTAATTGATTGTCGGTCAGGTATATTGATATACGATGGAGAAAGAGCATTGGATTCCGGGCAGTCATCAAGTATATGGTTGTGGTGTGGAAAGAGGGACCAGGGAAGGTTTAGTTTTTTTTTTTTAAAGAAAATATTGAGCATCTCTCTTCTATCCTTCCAATAATTGAAACCCTTCTCATTTGCCACCGCATTCCATCTCTTCCCTAATTTTTCATCTTTATTCTCAACACACCTAATTCGATACTTGATCTCACAACCAATCTTTGCAAATGTTATTTTAACTTTTTTTTTCATGCATTATTTCTACTAAATTAATAAGTCTACAAGTTTTATTGACGATTTTGATTCTCAAATGTTTAAATCAATATAATATGTAATACTCTTCTAGTTGATTATGTTAGAATCAAATCATAATAACCATGAAATCTAAACTCAAAATCAATCATGTTAAATCATCAAGAATAAACTACTTGATGTGGATGATACATTGAAATGTTCGAGTCTTTCTTTTTACGATCTTCTAAGAAGTTATGTTTTATTTTTCCATAAAAATTCTTCGATGGGATAAGAGTAATACAAGTTAACATATTTCTTTGAGACTATAAGCTAAATATTATGTCAATCTTTTAAATATTTATAATTATGTTCCTCATAAAATTATAAATACAATTGAAGTCCTACCAATAATGTGTTCTTATTTATTTTACTTTAGGAGAATAATTTTGTTATTTAAATAAAATTCTCCTAATAATGATATGATGGCTTTAAAATTAGAATTGAATTCAAATATCTGCAGAAAGAGTTTATTGCCACTTCTGTCGGTATCAACTGCATATAGAATCATTAATGAGGTATTTAAAAAATAAACGAAATAATAATAGAGATTATGGCAGGGAAATCGAAGGGTTTTGTTTTTATATTTTAGAAATGGTAATGGCAGATAAGGAATCAAATTGGAGTTGGTCAGATATTTTATATATTGAATAGAGCCAAAGCAACTAACATGCATCTCACTGTCTCCTTCAATTTCCAGCTCACAAAACTCTCATTGAAATTTGACAAGCCCTCTTCCAAACAAAGACACATGCCACTGTTTCATTATCATTCTTTTATCCGCTAACAATTATAAGGGTAAAACTACACGAATCATCCTAACTATAGAGTGATGTTTTGTTCAGTCGTCGACCATTAAAAGCTATAAAATAATTCATCGACTATAAGGTGTTGTTTTGTTTTGTTGAGTCCCTCGATTATTAAAAGTTATAAAATGATCGCCTAACTATACATATGTTCCAAATTCGTCATTTTTCGTTAAAAAATTGACAGCCGTCTGAGCTGGACGTTAATATGCTAATTAAGATATGATAGTCGTTTGAGGTTCTAGGATCAGATTTTTTTTTTCATATCTCGATCAGTAGGTTAGCATCAAGCTTAGGGTGTCGTCAAATTTTTAACGGAAAAAAGACGAGTTTAGAACATATGAATAGTAGAGTGACTATTTTATAACTTTTAATAATAGGAGGACTCAACAAAGCAACATCCTATAATATAAATATCATCATTTTGTAACTTTTAATAATCGGAGACTCAACAAAATAATATACTATAATCGGGGATCATTTGTGTACTTTGCCCCGATTATAATCTCCATTTATTCAAGTAAAAGAAAAATCAGTGTCACAATCTTTACACATCTTTATATCTGCTCTTTGCCTGCTTAATCCCACCACACCCACCCCCGTCAACTTGATTCTTCACTGCTCTCTCCTCTTTGTTATCTTTTTCAGCTTTTTTGTCTTCCATCACCAGAAAAAAAATATGAGGGAAATTCTCCATGTTCAAGCTGGTCAGTGCGGTAATCAAATTGGTGGCAAATTCTGGGAAGTTGTATGTGATGAACATGGCATTGATCCCACTGGAAACTATGTTGGAACTTCTCCAGTTCAGAACGAGAGGCTTAATGTTTACTATAATGAAGCCAGTGGTGGACGCTACGTGCCTAGAGCTGTCTTGATGGACCTTGAACCAGGGACTATGGACAGCTTGCGAACAGGTCCTTATGGGAAATTGTTTAGACCGGATAACTTTGTTTTCGGCCAAAACGGAGCTGGGAACAACTGGGCCAAAGGACACTATACCGAAGGAGCCGAATTGATCGATTCGGTTCTCGATGTTGTTCGTAGAGAGGCTGAGAACTGTGATTGCTTACAAGGTATACAACTTCATTTTAACATGATGTTTTGTTTGTTTTCCTAATGGGAAGTTATATGTAAATAACCAGGTTTTCAGATATGCCATTCACTGGGAGGTGGAACAGGATCAGGAATGGGGACACTGCTGATATCAAAGATCAGGGAAGAATACCCTGACCGTATGATGTTAACGTTCTCAGTGTTCCCCTCACCCAAAGTCTCGGATACTGTGGTTGAACCCTACAATGCCACACTGTCAGTCCACCAGCTTGTGGAAAATGCTGATGAATGCATGGTCCTTGACAATGAAGCTCTCTATGATATCTGCTTCAGAACTCTAAAACTCACAAATCCTAGTTGTAAGTTTCAAAAGTTTTACACTGAATTATTATTTCTAAGCAACACCTTCATTTTTATATGGGTTAATTGCATTATATGTCCCCAATCTATCATTCTCATTTTATATTAGTCCTTAAACTTTTGAACATTCCAATTCCATCTTCAAACTATGACCCTCATTCTAAGTTGATCCCAAATTGAGTCTTTCAATTTCATCCCCAAAGTCATTCAAATATATAATTAGTTTCAAGCATAGTTTAACCTAATTTTTTTTTCAAACATATAATAATATAACTTGGCTTAACGATTTTATTAACAACGGATGTGATTAGTATATATATATAGTTTGTGATGAAATTGAAATGTTCAAAAAGTTTGAGAACTAATTGAGAATGAAGATCATAGTTTGAGGAAGAAAATGAAATGTTCAAAAGTTTGAGGACTAATTTAGAATGATAGTCATAGTTTAGGGGTGAAATTAAAATATCGAAAAGTTTAGAGACTAATTTAGAATAAGAGTCATAATTTGAGGATGCGTGATGCAATTAACTATTTTTTTATTAACCTTTTGTGCCTATATGTGTACATGAACAGTTGGGGACTTGAACCATTTGATTTCAACAACTATGAGTGGAGTCACATGCTGCCTTCGCTTCCCTGGGCAACTCAATTCCGATCTTCGAAAACTAGCTGTGAACTTAATCCCCTTCCCACGCCTGCACTTTTTCATGGTTGGTTTTGCACCCTTGACATCCCGGGGCTCGCAACAGTACCGATCCTTAACGATACCTGAGCTAACTCAACAAATGTGGGACGCCAAGAACATGATGTGTGCTGCCGATCCACGCCATGGAAGGTACTTGACAGCCTCGGCTATGTTCCGAGGCAAAATGAGCACCAAGGAAGTTGATGAACAAATGATCAACGTGCAGAACAAGAACTCGTCGTATTTTGTTGAGTGGATCCCGAACAATGTTAAATCAAGTGTTTGCGACATTCCACCAACAGGGTTAACAATGTCGTCAACGTTCATGGGGAATTCGACGTCGATTCAGGAGATGTTTCGGCGCGTTTCGGAACAGTTCACTGTCATGTTTAGGAGGAAGGCATTTTTGCATTGGTATACAGGGGAAGGGATGGATGAAATGGAGTTTACCGAGGCAGAAAGTAACATGAATGATTTGGTATCTGAGTATCAGCAATATCAAGATGCTGTGGCAGATGATGATGGTGAAGGGTATGAGGATGAAGCTGAGGAAAATTGAGTGTTTTGGGACTGTTTTGAGTGAAAAAACAGAGCATTTTGATGCTCTAAATAAGGAGGCCATGTTTTCATTTGTGTCGGGATTTTGGTGTCTTTTTTTTAACAATGTGAATTGGGAATTGGAGATTAATTTTATTTGAATTGGGAGTGTAAATGTTGCAGCTTTGATTGTTTATTTATATAATTAATTTGGAGTGACTTGATGAACCAAACCACTGATTCACGCAGCTTTTACACTATATTTAACTCATAGTATTCATGAGGTTTGAAATCAGATATATCTTTTATATATACAACATACATGGCACGAATTAAGCAGTTTTAGTGGTTGAAGAAATAGTTGTTATCCCTAGAGCTTCGACCTCCAAGATTGTATTCTCAAGAGACAAGTAAAGAACTCAAATTATGGAAGAGAGAATTCTTAAAGATTAGAAACGAAGGGTAAAAGTCTCCATACTTCTTCCTTTATTCATGTTTATATTTTGTGTTTTAAGAATGATAAGACTACATTTAATGACATTGAGTAAATTTTGCGCTAAGAGTCTTGTGGGAGATCCAAGGGAAGAGAAGAAATATAATTCTTCTAAGAGAAGCATGTAGAAGATTAAATGAAGATTTTGAATGCTTACTTGAGGTGAATACACTAAATTTATTCACTTCAGGAAGATTGAATTAAATTATGATCAATCAAGTAAGTTAAGGTGATGTTATATTTTGTTCATACTTGTTAGAGATTTTCTTCATTGATGTGCTACTGGGTTGCATGCACTTCATTTGTACTTCTACAATATGTCACTTTCTTCATATGATGTTTTCTACTCGTTTTTTTCTCTGTTACCATGCTTGCATGTCAAGTTTGTAGGATCTCTTCTACATCTTCGCATCATTTGTCAATGCTTATTGCTACGTACACTATTTTGAGTTGGATAAGGATTGCATGTGCTCGTCTTGCCCTCTTTAAGGGTTAGGGTGATTAGAGTTTGAGACTGGTGTTGCATATATGGGTTTTCTTCTATCTAACTTATGTTCAAGGGTGGAACTAGGATGAAATTATGAGAGGGACCAAGTTACTTATCTTTGAAATTAACAATGTTCTAAAAGGTAATTAAACCACAAAAAATAAAAGATTGAGACTTAATTTCACTAATTTTGAAATTGTCATGTCCTAAAAGGTAATTAAACTAGAAAATGTATGGGCAAGACTTAATTTAATTTAACTGTAAAACTGATAATTTCTTAAAACTAATTAAACCTTAAAATTTTAGGAGGGGTCAAGACTTAGTTTTAATGGTTTAAAAACTTTTAAGCGCTTAACATACAATTAAACCATAAAAGTTGGGGTGAGCTATGTCCCCTTCTGCCGCCCCCATGTGATTCCGCCACTGTATTTTTTTTTATAAGAGAAAGGTATATACTCATTACACCAATATGATTTACAATGAAAGGAGGTGGTGGTTAACACTATCTTAGATGATAGGAAAGGAGATAGTTAAACCGATGATTATGGTTTGCCTCTTCTATTTTGCGTGGAAAGCCAATAATCGGTTCTATTTTAGAAATAAGGAGTACAATGGATTCCCTCCTCAACAGAAAGAGAGAGAGAGAATTCTACTTCTATCATCATTTATTGTGTTATGTAATTGAATATAAAATTATGTAATTTGAGCTTAAACCATTACTAGCTTAATAATGTTACTATATAACCTATTATGCAGATCTACGAGGTCTAGTGAGCTATTGGTTATTAAATTTCATTTACTTTGGGATATAGCCCTTGAGAGTGGTAGAGTGTAGCAAATGGTATAACAAAAATTACTTTAATTTAATTTGTTACTTTAGATAAAGATGCACGTAGTATATGGTCTGAAGCATTGATTTCACCGTAATTTAAAAAATAATTTATATATTTACTAGTTTTGATAAATAGATACAATCACATAACGCTGGGAATTTCAACACAAAATAAAATCATAATTAATTGCAGACATATTTGCATACTTAATTTAATCTTAATTTATATATTTTACATTTCTCATTTTCATTTATTTTTCATCACTTTTCATATAAACACATATTTCACTTCACATGTATACATATGATCATTTCCATTATTTCACATACCTGGATCGATTCTCTGACAACTGCATTCTTTCATATAATATTATATTAAAGCATAAACGAATTATGAAAGAAATCAATGTATTCAATATATATATATGGATGCATGTACATGAATATGAAATCATGAATTCAACTATAAGAGATATACTTATCACAAGTCTTATCTCCATACAATTCTATCTAGTATGTACACTCACCTTAGCCTTGCTTACTTTGACTCGATTTTAATCCTTCGATTGTTCCGGAACAGGATTACGTTCTGGAACAGGATTACGTTCTATATCTACATAGTAATACGTTGATACATATAAGTATACTAATTGATATATTCTAAACTATCACTTCTTAGGCTAAAAGAAAGGCTAATTTCATCTCTTAATGAAGGTATGTATCGATGCACTCTACAGTGTATCGATGCATCCCTTAACATGTGTATCGATGCACTATCTATGCATCGGTACACAAATCCCATTCGATGTTTGTATTTTAAGGGGGTGCATCGATGCACTAATTGTATTCGATGTTCATTTATTTGAGAGTGCATCTGTATACATTGAAGATAATCCAATGCATACAACCCATAAATTCCATTTTAAGCACGAAATTCACTCTCTTTTCAGCTCAAATCTCCATCTTTTACCTCCTTTAATAATCCTAACATACATACACATGTTTAGCCTCACTAATATTCATTTATCCCATCTTTAACCTCAATATCCTCTCCTCTTTATGAAATTCAAGAATCATACTCAAATTTCAACATGTTCTAAATTCAATTCTAACACTTCTTATATCTTAACTAGATTGATGACAAGTCAAATTCAACCTCTAAATTCATTTAAACCCTCTTATTCAAAATTTCACTTTAAAACCCATTCTCTTTAATCTTTCATAACTTCTTCATCTTTTGATTATAAGACAACTTAAGCTTTCCTTAAGCTTAAGTATCACCTAAGGATCAAAACCCACTCTTGAATTTTGAGAATTAACCAAAAGAAATTAAACTTACCTTGACTTGGGTCTTCACGTTGGAGAAGGGAAGAAGATGAGAATTGTCTGGAAACTTTGTTTCCAAACATGCTCCACATGGGTTATTATAATACCCATAAATTCTTATTTAATTATTTCCTTGTCCAAAGACCCATTTGCCCTTTAATTCCTTTGAAAATTACTAATAAATTTTTGGTAATATTTTTAAATAAATCATTGAAATATTCAACTATTCTACTTTTATCATTAAATTCTGAAATTTTACAATTTAGTCACTAACTCGATATTGAGGATGTTACATAAAGTACACAAATGGTCCCTTGACTATAAGATAATGCTTTATTGAGTATCCGCCTATTAAAAGTTATAAAATGATCATTCGACTATTTATTATGTTCCAAGCTTGGCCTTTTCTGTTAAAATATTAATGACAGTCGGAACTAGGCGTTAACATATCGACTAAGATATGGTAAAACCTGATCACATAATCTCAAACGACTATCATATCTCAATCAATATATTAACGTCAAACTCAGACGAACGTTAACTATTTCATAGAAAAGAAAGAGTTTGGAACATAATAAATAATTGAGTGATCATTTTGTAACTTTTAATAGTTAAGGGACTCAACAAAATAACTCCATATAGTTGGGGGACAATTTTATAATTTTTAATAATTGAGAAACTCAATAAAGCAGTATCTTATAGTCAAGGGAGCATTTATGTAATTTACCCTTACTTTTATAAATAACAAACATTTTATTTCCTTTCATTTGTGCGAAATTTGATCTCATAATCTCAAACGACTATTATATCTCAATCAGTATGTTATCGTCCAACTCAGATGATCATTAATTATTTAATAGAAAAGGAACAGTTTAGAACAAAATAAATAATTAAGTGATCATTTTGTAACTTTTAATAGTTAAAGCACTCAACAAAATAACTCTCTATGGTTGGGGGATAATTTTATAATTTTTAATAATTGAGAGACACAATAAAATAGTATCTTATAGTTGGAGGACCATCTGTTGTAATTTACCCTTACTTTTATAAATAACAAACATTTTATTTCAATTCATTTAGTTTAGAACAAAATCTCCCACGGAACTTCGTCTTTAGTCGTTTCTTTTTCTCTCACTAACAAAGGTAACCTCACGATCCCCGCTGAAGGTACGCTTAAAACCCTAGAAAATCTTACTCTAAATCTTTATTACATATGTTTGAATCAAAGGGTTTGTTGCTGTTAATTATTTCTTTTCAAAAGCTGGTACGTGATCGTTATTTATATGCATGGTGTTTTGTTTATATTGTATGTATAGGTTGGAGTGGTGGCGGTAATGGGGAAGGGGAGACTTAGGGCAGTTAAAACAGGCCAAAATTTGAGTGTTTCATCCACTGGGTCATTGAATATACAGTCAGGGCCGGTTTATTACCCCAGTGAAGAGGATTTTAGGGATCCATTAGCGTATATCTATAAGATCAGGCCTGAGGTTGAGCCATATGGGATTTGTAAGATTGTTCCACCTAAGACTTGGAACCCTCCATTTGCCTTGAACGTGGAGTCGTTTACTTTTCCTACTAAAACACAAGCGATTCACCAGTTGCAGGCTCGGCCTGCTTCGTGTGATTCAAAGACTTTTGAGTTAGAGTATAATAGGTTTTTAGAAGGACATTGTGGTAAGAAGATGAAGAAGAGGGTGATTTTTGAAGGGAGGAGTTGGATTTGTGTAAATTGTTTAATGCAGTGAGGAGGTATGGGGGTTATGATAAGGTTGTGGAGGGGAAAAATGGGGGGAAGTTTTTAGGTGAGGTCAGGGAAGAAGATTTCGGAGTGTGCTAAGCATGTTTTATGTCAGTTGTATAGAGAGCATTTGTATGATTATGAAGCTTATTATAAACGGCTGAATCAGGAGAGGGCAAAGAGCTACAAGAGAGGCATCAGTGAGGATGCAAAGAGTGAAAAGAAGGTTAAAATTTATAGCTGCAAGAAGAGAAGGAAAAATAGTGACCATCGGAATGTTAAGGTCTGTAAGGTGGAGGAAGATCTTGATCAGATATGTGAGCAATGCAGTAGTGGGTTACATGGGGAAGTGATGCTACTGTGTGATAGATGTAATAAGGGGTGGCATATATATTGTCTGTCACCACCCTTGAAGCAGGTCCCACCAGGTAACTGGTATTGCTTTGAGTGCCTGAATCCTGACAAAGATAGTTTTGGTTTTATTCCTGGAAAACAGTTTACATTGGAAGCTTTTGGGCGTTTGGCTGATAGAGCCAAGAAGAAATGGTTTGGGTCAGGATGTGTTTCGAGGGTACAGATAGAGAAAAAGTTTTGGGAGATTGTGGAGGGTTTGGCAGGTGAGGTGGAAGTTATGTATGGAAGTGATCTGGATACTTCTGTTTATTTGAGTGGTTTTCCACGTATAAATGATCAGAGGCCAGAATCTGTTGAGCTTAAGGTATGGGATGAATACTGTAGGAGCCCATGGAATCTCAACAACTTGCCCAAGTTGAATGGTTCGATTCTGAGGGTTGTTCATCATAACATTACTGGTGTCATGGTTCCTTGGCTGTATATTGGAATGCTATTCTCATCTTTCTGCTGGCATTTTGAAGACCATTGTTTCTATACAATGAATTACCTTCACTGGTATGTTTCTTTTAATGTCTTATGCACTTACCTTTTCAGTAGATCATGTTGACATTCTTGTTACTGCTTTTGTGATTTGACTGAAACCTGATTTGTGCAGTTATGTTATATAATTTGTCTGGGCATTCCTATTACTAGACCATATGCTTTAAAGCAAGCCAAAAAGTCAGCTAAAGTTAAATGGTTCAAATGTATTTCATTAGAGCATGGATGAAAGTTAGCTGAGGATAGAACTTACAATATCTGGAAAATGGTTCAGATTAGATCAGCATTAGAGTCTGGGTGTGTCCATATGTCCATGCTCAGATATATTTCATGCATCTATGATGTTCGGTCCATTTACAACTTATTATGCTTCTCATTATCAATTCTCTGTTTAAGTTCCTTTATAAGCAATTAAGACATTATTGAGGACTGAGGAGTCTATTTTAAGTAATAATATAAATAATCCAGTGGACATATGTTTCATTTTTCTTGCATGATATTGGCACATCTTATTGAAAAAGGACAGAATTAATGAATACATCTATAATTCTTAATCTTTTGATGGTTTTGGTTGCTCTGTGCCTCTTATGTTTTATAGAATACGTGCATGAAGTTTTATTTGTGAAGTTTGATGGTTATACTTTGTGTTTGCAGGGGAGAGCCTAAATGTTGGTACAGTGTCCCTGGTAGTGAAGCTAGTGCTTTTGAGAAGGTAGTGTTTTATGGATTTAATGTGATACGTTTCACCTTGACATGTGAGTTCTTTAAAGCCTCTTTTATCTTGTGACTATACCCTATTTCTTATTTTGTTTTTCCTTAACTTATATAATAGCAATATTTAGACATATAAGTTTTTTGTTATTAGCATTATGGTTTCATCTGTTTTTATTTTCTTTCTGTTGAATGGTTTGTGTGTTTGTGACTCATGTTTCCTCTCTAGCATTTCATGAATTTGAGTATTATTCTCTCTTTCTTTCCAAAGTATGAATGCAGCTGAGATTTTCCTGTTTTTGTAGGTGATGCGGGAGTGTCTCCCTGATTTATTTGATGCGCAAGCTGACTTGCTCTTTCAGCTTATTACAATGTTAAATCCATCCGTCTTGCAAGAAAATGGTGTCCCAGTCTATAGTGTGCTACAGGTTTTCTTTTCATTATTTTACAATTGAATGAAGAAAACAGTTCATGTTTTATATTTGCTCAACACTATCGATTTCTTAAAATGGCAATAGGTATATAACTCAGTAGGCTAAGTTTGATGTTCAGTGATTGCAATCCATGTGTATATGTAGTTTTTACTTCATATATTCATTTAAATCTCCAGTGGAAGTTTGTTGACTTTGCATTAATGCTATTACATGGTTAGGTATATATGAGTTGTTTTTATTGTTGTGTGAACTTTGAGTTGGCTGTTTGTGTTTTTTCAAATAATTGTTACTTTCCTTTGGGTCTGGTTAAAAGGTGCCTATAGGCGCTAGTTAAGGGTATTAAAATTCTATTTTAAGAAGGCTTTGGCATTTAATGCCCTTTTTTTGCTAAAATCAAGAGGGGCAATGTGTTAATATCAATTCTGCGAGTTGTCTTAGATACCCTTTATATAATAGTTTCTCGCTTGCCTTTTCCCAGGAGCCAGGAAATTTTGTCAATACGTTCCCTAGATCTTATCATGGAGGATTCAATTTGGGTAAGTTGTCATAATTTTATGAGCTAGTCATGTCTCAATTAAAGGTTGGATTTAGCACATCTAAACTTGGAATGAATCAGTTTCAGTGACCTTTGCTTTGTCTTTTCAGGTTTAAATTGTGCAGAGGCTGTAAATTTTGCTCCTGCTGATTGGTTACCACATGGTGGGTCTGGGGCAGAGCTGTATGATTTATATCGTAAAGCTGCAGTTTTATCTCATGAGGAGCTTCTTTGTGTGGTGGCCAAGGTATAAGTTTCCATACCCATAGTTATAAAGTTACAGGTGGTATCTAATGTGAGTGGTTAAGTCTCCTTATTTGCTCACTGCGGATTCTTTCATGCTCTTGAAGATATAATCCTGCATTTTTCTTCTTTCTAAATCCTTGATGATTATTCATTGGAAATTCACACGTTTCATTAGATTTAGCCATTTGGTCAGTTAGCTTTTTAGAACTAATTAACAAATTATCTAGGCTGAATTAGCTGATACTGTACAAACTGTCAAAAGTGATAACGTTTGGGGATTGATCACATGACTTTGTTTTGCTACATCCAATTTTTCCTTTCAACAAACCGATGGTTAGCAGCTTTTCTGGATGTGTATGTCTCCAGTATCATGAATGCATTTTCATTCGCGTGTGGCACATCTAAAGATAGGGTTTTTTTTTATAGGGAGAGTATCATGAATGCATTTTCATTCGCGTGTGGCACATCTAAAGATAGGGTTTTTTTTTATAGGGAGATGCGATGAACATTTTACCTGAATATCACTTTAGATTGAAGCTTTCAGAATTGAAAGACATTGGATTGCAGTGGGCTGGTGATGCCAATAAGGTCGGGGATCCTTTGTTTGCATGTATGGTAACTCTTGTCATGTCCTTTCAACTAAACTGTCTTTTTCCTGAACGGGTCGCAGCTGATTCTTGGGCACTTGGCTTTGATGGAGTTTATCAACTTATCACAGAGGGGGAAAGTTTGCCAGTTTGCTTAAAGAAGGAACTTGAGGTATCAAAATGCATCTTTGTAAAACTGGTTTTTAAAAGAAAAAGAAAATAAAATCTGTTGGTTTTCTTAATGCAGTTATTAAGAGCACGAAGTATGCTTCATTGCATTTGTTGGAAGCCGTATGATGAGAAAACAATGATTAGTTGCACTTGATGCGGCGAGTGGTACCATATCAGATGCATTAAATTAACCTTCACACCGAAGGTTTTTATCTGTGCAGCTTGCATGCCTGGGATTGAATACCTGGTGTGGCGGTGTCCTCATTGGATCATGTGAGGTATGTCAATGGAACATTGTTTTATATTCAGGAACAAGGATCGTGTATGGTTTTTTGAATAATGGTTTTTGATAGATACAAGGACGCCAAATTTTTGGAACCACAAACCCCATCTCCACGACATAAAAAACCAAGAATGGGACTGAAGGTGACAATTAGAAAGAAGAGTGGTATATTTGTAGATCCGAGCAGGTGCAGGATAGATCGATTGAGGTGGTGAAACCGGAAGCCTTATAGTAGAGCAGTGAAAAAGCGTTGTGAGATTCATAGTCTTTCTTCATTTTTGCATAGACCACACAGCCAATGATCTCATAAATTTGGAGTTGGAAAGCATTTCATTAATTCAATTGATTCTTGAGGCTTAATGTAACAACCCGATTTTCAAAATAATATTTAATTGAAATTGGAGGTAAATTGTGAAAATGGGTGAAATTAAGTGATTAAAGTATAATTTATGAAAACTTGTATGCCATTTTCAAAGTAAAGGAAATTCAGGGACCAAGCCCTGAATTTCCCCTAAAAGTGTCGGCAAGTTTGTTATAACTAACGTGTTTTCTGATTTCAATCAGAAAACAAAAAAGCTTTTCTTCAATTTTCTTCCTCTCACACCTCCATTTTCATGTCCGATCCAAACGTCGTCCGAATTCCGATCGTTGTTTTGAAATCACCGTTGTGTTCATCATCGAGCGAGGAATAAACCCTTCAAATTAATTGAAGCGAAACGCGGCCAAACGTCGGGAATTTCCAGTCAAAGTAGCGACGGTTTTGTTAGCTCTATCGCCGAGGAAATCTTAAATTCACCGTTGATCGTTGCTCCGTTTACGACACCTCCCGCACCATCGTGTTCCTTGTGCCATTCCGAGTTCACCGGTGTTAACCTTGTCCGCCGTAGACGGCGGCGCGTGAGGAGGTGGTGCAGTAAAGATTCGGCCGATTTGAAATCGAGCTCTTCGCCGTTCAAAATTTTGAACCGATCGTTGTAAGTATCTTGAAATCGCTCAAAATAATTTTTACAAAATTTTCTGGGATTTTTAGGGCCCCGGAGGACGCCTCACGCGCCACACGCGCCGCCGCAGGGCGAGTGGCTGCTGGAAATCGGTTTAACCGGTTTTCAACCGGTTCTGACCGGTCTGACCCGACCCGACCGTTGACCGTTGACCGTTTACCGTTGACCGTTGACCGTCGACTTTCTTTGACCAAAACTTAAAATGGCTTTGACCGAGCATTAAACGACCGTTAATCTTTTCCGAGTATACCTATCCTGATAGTTTTCGACGTGCCGAATCCGTTTCCGTGGTCCGTTTTGTCAAATTCGAATCCGAAGGTCTCCAAATCTATGGTCAAAGTGGTTGACTTTGACTTTGACCAAGAATTTGAATTTTCGAAAAGTCATACTTTATGTTTTTCGACGCCCTGATTTCGATTCCGCAATCCGTTTGGCCAAATTCAGACTCGAAATACCTCAAATTGATAGTCAAAACCAAAAAAATGCGTATATACTTAAGAAGTTTAGTTTTGAACAATTAAATAGGATTTGAGACTGATAAATATTATTGTTTGAAGGTACAAGAGACTCTCCGGATCGTTCGACAGCTCGACCCAGCTCTTCTAGATCAGTTAAACCACGTGTGCCAGTATTCACCCGTTAGAAAACTGTAGCAGAGCGTGGTGAAACCAGCAATCAGTAGATTTGTTATTTGAATCTATTGTCGAGGTGTGTTCCCTACTTATTATTGAACTGTTTTATTGGTTTTAATATGTTGTACACCGAATTCATTGGTTATTGTTTTATGGATGCACCAATTTAATGTGACAATTTATGGAATATGACTGCTATCTAATTTTTGTTTTGAAATGGTATATGATTACCATGTTTTTAGATTTATGGAATTTATGTCACGGTGCAATTGAATTTTGGAATTGAATTACGATGGAATAGCTCTGATCAAGCTAACTGGGCCTAATGTGACTCTTGAGGGCCCCAAGATGTTTCATTAGGTCGGCTTTCCTTTGCTGTGTGTTTAGGATAAGCTATATGGACTTATTGACTTGGGCTTAAGGATACAAGCTTCTGAGCATATCCTTAAGTCGGTTTTCCTTTTGCTATGTGCATAAAGTAAGCTATATGGAAAATAATTTTGGGAACTACTGATGGTGTACCAGAAAAGGGTTTAAACTATGATTTTCAAAAATTAAACTCTTTACGAATTTGTGAGATTACTGGACTATGATTTGTACCTATTGTGATTTTATGGAAATGTTGGGACACACACTGAGCCTAGTCACCTTTTGAAAATGTTTTCCCCTTTCAGTACTGTTGGTTAGATACCTTTGTTCGAGCACTTGGAGGATCAACATATCTCTTGAAGTAAATCAGATTGTAATGTTTTTATCTGGCAAGTTGACTTTATTTTGGTGACATGGACCTTATTTTAATATCGGATTTTATAATGATAACTCTTTTGCTATGCTCGGTTATTGTGATTTGAATTTGAAGACATGTTTTAAATTAAATTATTATTTATTTGTACTATTTACGAGTTGGATTTTGATAGTATAATTTGTTTATAATTTCATGTTATTTATAATGTGTTTTATATTGATGGAATAACGGTTGCGAAAAATGTCTTTAATAATCATAATGTGATCCACTAGACTTAGTCGAAACGCATAGGTCGGGTCTAGGGGGTTACATTTATTGGTATCAGAGCTTTTAGTTTTTAACCATCGGACTGTGTATGAGTCCACATTGAAAATACGGTTTTGAAATATTTTACAAAACGAGTTACTAAGGACATGTCACAAAGTTATTAAGATTTTAACTATGTTTGAGACTCCAAGTGCTTATCTAACCCTAAGTTTTATCTTCTGTAGTAAACTTGAGATCCATCAAAATGAGTGCTAGACGTAGTCGTCGAACTAGCCGTGGACGAGGTCGAGTGGCTAGATTCGCAGATCCGATCGATGAGATACGGGTAGATCCCCCACCTCCGATAGGTGATCATGCTCCTACGACCCCAACGGATCTGCCTCCTACCGCTGGTATTGGCATGACTACACCGATAATAGGAGCGACCGATATTGAGTCAGAGTCTACCGGAGTTGCTTTAGATGAGAATTTTGGTAGACAATTTCTGCAGTTAATACAGGGAGCAGTCAGAGCTATGGTGTTGTATCTGAGGTCCTATTCGCAGACTTTGATTGCCAATGGAGTTAGAACTTTTGGGGGACAGATAGGTGGAGCTCCTACTGAAGCTGAGGATTGGCTCCAGGATACAGAGACGCATGGATCAGTTGGGTTTGGACTCAATTAAGAGATATCAGGGTGCTGTGGCGATGTTAGATGGCAATGCCTACACTTGGTGGGAGTCAGTGACCAGTAGTGTTCCTACCGATCGTTTGACATGGAATTTCTTTAAGGATCGCTTTCGGAGCCGTTTTCTGGGAGAACGCTACTTAGCTCAGAGACGACAACAGTTTCAAGACCTGGTTCAGGGAGATATGACTGTTTCTGAATATGAGATCGAGTTCCTGAAGTTGCTGAAGTATGGATTCAGTATGTACCTAGAAGAGAGATCGATGTCGTAAATTTGCCCTTGGACTCAGATACGAGCTGCGTAGGCAAGTTGTAACCCATCAGGATGAGATATTTGATGTGCTGGTGGGCAGAGCCAAAGATGCGGAAGAGGTGGAGGTTTTAGCTTCTGGTAGAGAGCGTGTTGATCAAGATTGATCTAAGAAATTTTCAGGCCCGATGGAGTCATCAGCACAGTCCGGGAAGAGGACTCGTACTTCAGCCCCTCAAAGAAACAATACACGTTTCAGGCCTGCAGCATCCTCACCTTTAGCTGTCAGTCGAGGCGGTTCCTCGTCGTATTATAATGGGCCCCTTTGTGAGTATTGTGGTAAACAGCACTCAGGAGAGTGTCGTAAGAAGATGGGTCTTTGCTATCAGTGTGGATCTAGTGGTCATTATCGGAGGGATTGTCCTCAGTTAGTTTCGTTTGAGCATACCACTACCCAAACTCCTGTGCGTTCGCAGACTACAGTATAGACCCCAATTAGAGATCGTAGTCAAGAAAAGACTCGAGGATCAGCGTCCAGGACAGACAGTAGAGCCCGACCTCAGCAAAATAGAGGGCCAACAGCTTCTGAGGCTAGACAGTCAGCTTTAGTTTATGCAACTAGACGTCGTGATGACAGAGATGAGCCTGAGGTTATTGCAGGTACATTTACTATTTATTCTACCCCATACTTTTGCATTATTGGACAATGGCTCCACTCACTCCTATGTATCGAGCTCAGTATCTCGAAACCTTCAGATTCTGATCAAGAACACTGAAAATACTGTTACAGTTACAAGTCCAATAGGACAAGCAGTATTAGTGAATAAAGTATTTCGGCGTTGTCCTCTCGAGGTTCAGGGAGAAATTTTTCTCACTGATCTTATGGAACTTCCTTTAAGGGAGTTCGATCTAATTCTTGGAATGGATTGGTTGAATAAACACAAGGTAAAGCTGGATTGCGAATACAAGTGGGCTACTCTGAAGACTTCAGATGGTCGGACTGTTGTGTTAATTGGTGAACGGCGTGGTTATCTCTTCAATATAGTTTCAGCGATGGAAATTGATCATATGATCCGGAAGGGATATGAGACCTTCATTGGTTGTATTTTGAACACCAAATGTGCATTGTCCACGATCGAGGAGATTTGTACAGTTAGCGAGTTTCCTGATGTTTTTCCGGAGGAGTTGCCTGGGTTACCTCCTGATAGAGAGGTAGAGTTCGAGATTTAGACTTATCCAGGATCTTCACCTATTTCTATGGCATCTTATCGTATGGCTCCAAAGGAACTTAAGGAGTTGAAAGTCCAATTGCAAGAATTATTCGATCGAGGATTTATCCGACATAGTACTTCACCATGGGGAGCTCCAGTTCTATTCGTGAAAAAGAAGGATGGGTCGCTAAGATTATGTATTGACTATCGGAAATTGAACAAGATGACGGTCAGAATAAATACCCATTACCTAGGATTGATGATTATTGATTAATGCGAGGAGCTACTGTATTCTCTAAGATTGATCTTCGTTCGGGGGGTATTATCAATTGAAAGTTAAGGATCTGATGTTGCAAAACGGCCATTGCACTAGATATGGTCATTATGAATTTTTAGTGATGCCTTTTGGTTTGACGAAAGCTCCTGCAGCTTTTATGGATTTGATGAATCGGGTGTTCCGACCATATTTGGATCAATTTGTGGTGGTCTTCATTGACGATATTCTGATCTATTCTCGTACTGAGGCAGAGCATGACGAGCATTTGAAGATCGTTCTGCGGACTTTGAGAGAGCATCGTCTATATGCCA